GCTCGTCGTCGTCGTCGTCTCTGTCGTTTGTTGTCCTTAGAGTCGTTGACGTTTGTCGGCTGCCGTTGCGGTTTTTCTTTAGCCGCTTTTCCTTCGCGGTTTTTCCTGGGACTAAAACGTTCATGGTACCGACCTATGACGTTGCAACACGTCCCCCCGTTGCCCGTTTACCGTCCCTTGCTGCCACACATAATTGAATCGGCCATGATTCGGGCGGTGGACTGGCAGCTGGCAGCTGGGCGTGGCTCTAACTGCATTTGGTTCATTGCGTTCGCTCTTGTTCGACATTTCGGTTAAGGATTTATTTATACATATTTCCACACATCCCCCCACCCACCATATCAACCTCTTTCTCTTGGATTTTTTTTTTTTGTGTTCAGTAGAGCACATGGCTGCCCATCCCCACTTCCCTGCCCTTTATACCCCCTCCACTTATTAACAAAACAAAACAAAACAAAAACACCGAGAAACGAAAGCTAAACCGAGATCTTGATGCCCTGCCATCAATCGGTTTTCGTTGCATTTCAACCGATCCTTGCTGCAGTCAGTCCCATGTTCATTTTTGCGTATCGGTGCATCATCAATATTGATGTACACATGCCCAGCCACATGATAGGGTATTGAAAGGCCAAACAACAGGCGGGGCAGGGCATGTCGCTGCGGCGCTGCGGCGCAGTGGCACTTCGTGGATTGCATGGAAATGGATGCTCGAGAGACATAAATAAACTGCAGCTAATTTGAATGCACCAAATGTCCTTGGGGCAACGCCACCAGGCGGCAGCATGAAGCATGCAGGCGGCAGGCAGCCAGGAGGCAGAACAGACATCCTTCGACCCCATAACAATTGCAACAATTTGCAAACCAAGTGCCTCCGCAAGGATACGTATTTCTGTGCCCTGTGCCCTGTGCCCTGTGTTCTCTGTGCCTCTGTTTCGGTTGTTTTAGGATCATTCCAACGCCTCCTTTGGCTTTCATTTAGCCAAAGGTCAGACCCCGTTGAACAAAGCCCAGGGACCAATCCAAGGCACCACTTGACCCACTAAATTTTAAAGCATACACCCAAGATAAAGGAGATCTCAGATGAGATGATGAGCCCAGCCCAGCACAGCCCATCCTTGGGTGCAAGTGGTCTAATCCTTTCGGAGAATGAATGGCACACGGTTACAGTTGGGTTGCGATGGGGAGGGGGGGGCTGGCGCTTAACCCAAATATGTTGGCAAATAATGAAGCGCTTTGTTGGCCGCGTTCTCGATTGGCCTTCGAACGCTTGCAAGAGCGCGGATGACGTCACCAGCAGGACACACACACATACACACACACACACACAAAGACACACATGCGGAGAATAAATGGAGGAGCCAGCTGAATGTCACGCCCCAAAGTTCAGGTTAAATTTAGCCAAAGGCAAAGCCGAACGCCAAATCCAAAGCCAAAGCGACAGGCGAAAGGCGACAAGCCCGCCCCATAATTGGCCGCGTAATGTTAAAATAAAAACACAAAATACGACAAAATACTAAATACTACGACCGGAAAACCCAAATAGCAAACGAAAAAATATGCCAATAGAAGTGTGTGCCCCATAACACTTAAGAGGCTTACCGTACCACACGCGCCGCAACTTTCTGCTGCACAGCGCCCACCCCTGAAAAGTAGGCAACAATTTGGGGCAAGTGAACGAGGCACATTTTAATGGATCAGAGTTGCGCGGAACGGAACTGAAAGGCAAAGAGCAAACCACAAAAAAAAAAAGAAAATGGTTTGACAAATGAGGGGCGGCACAAGGGACACAAGTATTTTAATTGTTTCGTGGATCCCGGTTCCTGTCCTGGTCCTAGAAATGCCCTAGCAATGGAGGGAGGCACACTTTGGAGCTAATGGCACGATAGATGACCTAAGGAGTGGACAGCGAAAGCAGAGTTTATGGGGGCACAGATAAAAATGAAGTTAAAAGTTGTAAGAGGAATTTATTTAAAGGTCTAGTTAATGGCAGTGCAAGTGGGTCTGAAAGTAGGTTAAAATCCTCTTCAACCTCAGTCCAATTGCAAAAAGCTGGCTGCGAAATAAACTAAAATCTAGACATTTTTGGACCAGAATTAAGGTGTAAACGAAGGCACGATAATGGATCAAATGGAATCCCAAAGTAGAGATTCAAAGGTGGCAAACAATCTACTTACATGAGGATTTTTTTCAACAGCTTCTGATCCGTTCCACAGCTTGTCTTACGCCTGAAACTAAGAGAAAAAAAGAAGTATTATATTTTGAAATGATAAACTTAAGTTTAATGAATTAATTTCTATCAATTCGCAGACAAATATACTCTAGGCCACCCATCACTGTTACCCTGTAATTTGCATAGAACCAAAAATTAAACAAAACAAATGGAAATAAATGTCAGGGCAAAGTCCCAGAGTCCAAGAGTCGCAGAGTCCTGCTTCAATTAAGAGCCGGAGAGGCTGTTAAGTCCAGGCCATTTGTCGGGCCAAAAGAAGGGATTATCAAAGGCACTAGCACACACACACACACGCATGCACGACACACACACACATACACACATGGACTCGTAGATATACAATCTGGTGGCCGTATCCTTCAACTGCAGTTTAAATGCCAAATCAGCGCAAATTGTTCGTCTAGAGAGGCAGGGAGAGGAGGGATGGTGATGGTGGGGGTGGTGGTAGTGGAAGTGTTGGGTGTTGCCAAAAGGACCTTTGGCTTCTGCAGCATTTTCTGTTGCTTTTGCTGTTGTTGTTGCTATTTTCGTTGTTGGTTTCATAATGTCACTCGACACAGCGGCAACGACAGGGACAGCGGCAACGACAGGGACAGAGACAGAGCGACTGCAATGTCCTTGCAGCTCGGGGGGTTCATTGGCCCAAAACATTGAGCTGCAGCCTGCAGTGCCTCTCACTCTTCAGCCAGAAACGAGAGACGGAGAGAGAGAATTGACCAAGAGAGAGAGAGAGAGAGAGAGCAAAGCAAAGCAGAGCAGAACAGAGCAGAGGCAGGAGCCAGGTTCAATGCACGGCAAGTAGGTTATAAAAAAAAGGCAAAAGGCCGGCCCTAGGCGCTAAGACACAGCCTGTGCTATGACGTCACACAAAAAGCGGCAAGCACACACAGAGAGAGATGGAGATAGATAGAGATGTAGATAGATAGAGACATAGAGTGGTGTATAAGGGGTGTAAAGGCGGGCTTAATTTTCAGTTGAGAAAATCCGAGAAATATGCCAACTTTTACTTTTTCCCCCTCTCTGGATCCCCCTTTTTATACCCCTTTTTATACCCATTTTGCGTGCGCGCGTGTGTGTGTGTGTGTGTGTGTGTGTGTGTGTGTGTGTGTGTGTGTGTGTGTTTGTGTGAATGCATGTGAATAAGTGTGAATACACCCATTCTATGGCGGAATGAGTCTATAAAATGGGCACAAGGGCACATTCAATGCGGCATTTATGCTGACACTAGAGCCGATTTTTTATTCCCAAAAAAGCAAATACATAAATGAAACAAAGGAAAACTAAAGAAAGAGAACAACGAGTGGAGGAGACAAACCAAAATACGAGAAAAATAATCAATCAGACGATTGATGCACGTGTAGCATATTCGATAATACCTCGATGATAATGATTAACAAGTCATGAAAAAGGCTAGACATTGGTCGGTCGGTCGGTCGGTCGGTCGGTCGGTTGGTCTAGTCTCATTAGCATTCGATGGCAGGCAGATCGAAGGCACAAACACACACAATGGATGGATGGATGGATGTATGGAGATGCGGATGGGTATGGGGCAGCACAAGAAGGTAGACATAGACATCGCGGAAGAGCCAGACGGGGAGATAACAGAGTGCCAGGACAACCAGACGATGACAATAAAGCCACCATCAGCACCATCGGCACCATCGAAGCCACAAACAATACAATATTTGTACTCGTACCGATGGCAAATGGTGGGAATCAGACACAAAACATGCGAAAGCCACAACACCATAACAATGGGGGTGGGGTGGGGGCTGCAATTATTTACACGGCTACCCGCCGTACAATATTTTCCACTTCAGCGTGAACTTTCCACCTGTGGCCCAGCGTGTACGTGGAGGAATTTAACAACAAATTCCGTTCTGTCATGGGCTAATTATGAGAGCGGCCAACATTTTGACGGCTAAAGCCCCCTTCAAGGAGTGGGGAACAGGCCCTAAAAGGCTGAAGGACTGAAACCCAATGAATAGGCATGAAAAGGGAAATTTTAGCAACAAAATTATGAGATGGGTGTGTCATTTTATACCCTAACAAAGGCAAAGTATGGGCAATTTATGAGAGTTTATAGAGTCAAGCCTCTGTTTTGTGTGCCCAAGGGGGGGTTCGAAAAAAAGGAGTATTTATTACCAACAGCATTTGAGCTGCGTTAAATAAAGAGTAAGTAAAACATAAGGTATGCCCAAAAGAAATAATATTAAAATCATGTAAAATTTAAAAAAAATATATATATACATCATAATATCATATACCATATATCATATATATATCATATATCATATACATCATAATCACGTCATACAACAATCATTCTTAATTTATATATATTAAGGTTATCTGTGTCTGCAGAGAGAGAATTCTTATTATTTCTATTACACTCTCGGAATAGTATAAATTTATTGTCTGCTCCGGTACGTTTACGTTGCAAGATATTGTAAATGTATCGTTGTTGAAGGTCCAATCTCTGAAAGACTTACAATTTATAATAGCCCCATAGATTTTTACTGATGTCAACTGCCAGTGCCACCCCCATTGAATCTCGTGCCACAGAAAACCCCATCAAAAAATGTACAAAAATATTCCATTTGCGAGAGTGAAAACAGAAGGAAGCAGTCAAAGGAGGAAAATACTTTGTAGCTTTCCATCAGTGGAAAATTCTTAAAACGAAAAGCGAACCCAAAAATTGAACGGAAAAGTACTGAGTGGAATTGGCATGAGGCGGAAAATGTGGGTAAAAGTACAAGGAGCAAAGGGGCAATAGGGGCAATAGAATATGAAATAAATATGACAAAGTCAATGGGGAAATGGAAAAAGGAAAAAGCAATACATATGTATATGAGTAATAGCTTTGGTAGCAGCATTTGCAGCGAGTATCTTTAATCCTATTCCTTCGGATAGTCCACATCCCTCTCAAAAAGGTAGCACTGCAGCCAGTTGGAGCCCTTGTGCTTGCCACAGAACTCGGGCTGAAAGTTCCAGATGAGATGGCGCGACTTGAGCTCCGCGCTGGCGAATCGGTTCCCGTTGCGGCGGCAGGCGTCGACGAAGCGGCTGGCCAGGCGCTCGGCCAGCTCGATGCCTTGCCGGTTATGGGCCTCGCTGCTGGTGTCCTCGCAGGCGTAGAGCTGCTCGAAGGCGGCCCGCTCCGGGTGGAACTGGCAGCCGAAAATGGGATAGCGCCGGTGCTCGATGAGGCTGATGAACTCGCATCCAGCGGGGTCCTTCTGCAGGGCCAGGGTCTGCCAGTCGGTGGCAAGGCCAAACTCCTGCAAACTCTCCTTGGTGATGCAGTATCCGTGCTGGTGGCTGGCAAAGCACTTCTCCGGCATGTCCATGAAGAGCTTCGATTGGCCGTAGTCCTCGGTGAGGCACAGGGGCAGGGCCTTCTTCATTCTCTCGCACTTGGTGCGCACCTTGGTGTTCTGGGCCGCGTAGATGAGCAGCAGCTGCATCCCCAGACAGGTGCCCCACAGCGGAAAGTATTCCTCCGGATCGCTGGCCCTCATATTCCGCTCCATGGCCAGCTGGTATATGAATTCCGCGGTCCGCACACAATCGTTTGTGAGGTCGGGCCGCGACTGGACGTCGGCCTGATCGATGAAGACGGCCCCGCCGGGCAGGAGGATGCCATTGAGCTGATCCATCAGCGAATCGTAGTACGGGCGGTCGCGACCAATCCTGAAATCGATTAATGTGATCGTTGATCGATTTAAGTACGATTTTATAACGACATCTCCTTAATTTGATCATCGATCAGGGTTCAATTTTGAATTTTGCTTACAGTCGGTTCCCATCGATTTCTGTTCAAATTTATTCAATTAAAAATGGAATGATGAGAACGCATTTACTTTTGATTTTTTTTAACGAAAGTGAAATTAAATAGACATAAAATGGATTAAATAATGAAATAGTTCGCTCACATCATTCTCATTTTCATTGCCAGTTGCACAAAGCGTTTGGCACTCCGCCCAAATGGTCTGGCGATTGGCCGCGAATCAAAAATTGCAACTACATTTTTCCTCTTTTCTTTTGTTTATGCATTTTGTTTTTGTATATTTTCTGGTGCCCTCTGGCTACCCCCACTCACCAGATGGGAACGACATGAGCCCCCGCTGCCTCCAACTGCTTCACATATGAGGCTGCCAAATAGCTGTGCCACTGCTTGCCGTACTGGGCTTCCAGCCATTGCGCCGTGTCGATGCACATTATGCCAATGCAAGGTGTAGCCTTGAGTGATTCAGAATTAGCTATCATCTCTGTGTTTTTGTGTTATTTGTGTCTCCTTTGCGATACGATTTCATGAAGAGCCAAAACAAGACTGAAAACTCTAAGCAGAATGGGATTGACTCGGCCCCCGGGGTTTTCGCATGCCATTATTGGAGGAGATGACCCACATACACATGTAGGTCGCGATGAAGAATGCCAGCATTTAACCCTCTGCTCCACTTCGCCACTGATCGCCAAATAAACAGAAAAAAAAAGACACGCGCTCATTCCTGGAAATCATTTTAACAAACGGAAACTTGTAAGACGCCTTATTGGTGCCTGTGGCCTCTGGTTGCACCGCAGAGTTTTGCTCATGAAAAAAATATACGTATATCATATATATATAAAATATATGTACATATGCATAAAATAATATGTTTACATCAATTTCAAATATATTCACTTTACTTACATATGTGCGCACTTTTTCTTCGCCGATCTGCTTTTTTCCGCCATTTTGCCTCTTACTTCGCCCACGCGTTTGCTCATTGAAAGCTGTAACGCACTTTTTGGGACTTTTCACTACACACCTGGGCGACACCTTTTCCGTTTGATTTTTAAGTATTTTCCGGCACGATCACAATCCCAAACGCGGAACTGACTTGAGAACGCACGCTTAGAAAGGCATGAAAAAGTGAGAGTGGAAGAGCGGTACTAGTTGGAGCGCGCTTATTTCACTCTTTCTCTCTCTTGTCAGCTACTTTTGCTAATGGCTCGCTCATCGCTGCTCAAACTTAAATATTAATTTCATAATGTCAATGCTTCTTATCTTCTCCCTCTCCTCTCCTCTCCTCTCCTCTCCTCTCCTCTCCACACACTAGAAGAGGCCGCTCTTAAGAGAGTGTTTGTGTCAGCTGTTGGTGGAAGTGAAATGGAGAGGGTGAGAGGGCTCAACTAAGCAGAGTACACAGGTGCAGCGTATGCGGCCTAGTACTCGCTCATTCTTTCTTCTCACCGTGCTCTCTTCCGAACTTCTCTCACATATTTTGGTTCGTACGGCGCCGCAACGTCACTGGTTTCATCCGGTTGCATATTCCGCTGGCAAGCAGCAGACAGAGTAAATACGAGGAAAGAGGTAGATATTGGAAAGAAGGCGCATAACTTTCTAGGCTTCCCCCGAATAACCGCAAGTTCATCCATCGACAGCACACTGTAATGTATTTTCCCACTGCAGTGGAAGCGTATTTCTGATATTCCCCGTATTCCAATCCACCAGCGGCCATCCTGGTGATACCAGATACCAGTATCAATAGCCCTACACAGATTAGCAGCCCCTCCACCCCGTGAGAGGTTTGTCAGTGCTTTCTGGCTCAAAAGTTATTATCTATCTATCAATAGATAGATTATACATATGTATCAACTTAAGTCTACCAGGTATCATATAAATAATAAATCGAATTATTTTATTTAAAAAGATCAAAGAGTAAAGCTATCGAACAATCAGTGGGAAAATATCAGTGACATTTGTTATCAAATAATATCAAACGTGGCAATCGTTGTCGGTTATTAAAGTGCATTCAACAAGTGTATTTTGAGTGCTTAAAAGTGTTTTTCTAAAAGTAAAAATTTCACTTGAGGCGATTTCCAAGTAAATGCATTGATGGCAATATTTCGTAGATTTCGAGTGCGCAAAAGCATTCGCAGAACAATCGGTTTAGTGGGGCATTGAATGCGAGGAGGGTGGAGGGTGCAGAGGAGGTGAACACAGTCTTTTAAAAGTAGGAAAATGAAATGCACAACAGCTGCACAGCTGCAAGCTGATAGCCAGGGAAAATCAGAAATCAATTGAAAATAATCCAATGGCCAGAAGAGCGAGGAGGGGTCCAATACCGAGGGACACGAATGCAGCACCGTCATTTCCATTTCCGTACCCATAGGGAGGGTGGTAGTATGTGGGCCCATCATCGCCATCGTCGCCGCCGTCAAGGCCTGCATCATCTCCCCCTTCGATTTCAATATCAAGCAAATCCATTTCCTTGTTGGTAAACAGATATTGCTGGACATAGCTGGAGCCCAGTATCGAGGTATACTCCGGCTTGTAGTTGTAGATGAGCAACTGCGCCTGCTCCGTGGCATTGGCGAAGCTCTGGGGGCTCCTGCGGGCCTCGTTCACAAAGAAGTCGGCAAAGTACTGGCCAGTCAGCACCGCCGAGTGCGAGTGGGGAATGCTCGCTCGCGCGAACTCAAAGAGCGGCTTCTCCGGATGAAACTGAACGCCGTAGAAGGGATACTTCACATGCTCCATGGTGGAGATGAACTCGACGCCGTCCAGGTCGTGATTCAGGGATACCACGCGCCACGACTTGTTCAACTGATCCCGGACAAAGTCCGCCTCCGTGTAGCAGAACTGATGCGAGTGATAGGTGACATTCTCCTTGACCATCAGAGCAACAATATCCTCATGGCTGGCATTGAACAGGCGGCTCTGTTTGTAATCTACCGAGAGAGTGATCTGGTTAGAGGGGTTTATCGCATTAGGATCAATCCGTTGTACCTTCTTTAAACTCCATGGGCAAGGCGATGCCTGATCCCTTGCAATTGATGCGATGCTCGGTGCCATTGGACAGCTTGTAGACCAGCAGCTCCATGCCCAGACAAGTGCCCCAGACGGGCATGAAGGTGCCATTGTCATTCAACTGCACCGCCAATTGGATGAGATGTTCACCCGCATCGCCGTAGCCATTGCTCTGATTGAACCACGTTGCACCGCCAGGCAGGAGAACTCTGATTTACGGCAAGGAATTAATTGATATCATGACTTTCCCATAGCCCTCACTCACTCACTCACCCATTTATCTTGTGCATGAGATCTTCGTAGTAGCTGCGATTGCGTCCAATCCTTTCGAGATATCAAGAAAATGGTTTATCAATTACATTTTTGGCAATCTTATCGTTTCGCGTTGGCTAAATTGATTTATTTATGTGCATACATATATGCGCTATAAATATCTTTTCGTAGCTTCGGGATTGCCACCACAAACAACGATAAGTTCTCCCTCTAGAGGTATCTGTCTGCTTCACTTACCAAATGGGCAACACTTGGGCACCAGCACCCTCCAAATACTTGACATACGAGGCGGCTATGTAGCTGGTTTTGTTCACGAAATGTCGCGAAATCAATCCATCCGAGTAGACCTCCTGCGTGAGCACACCAATGACGGGGGAACTTTCCGCAGAAGCTGCCAGTAGGATGATTCCCAGAAACAGCAGACAGCTGAGGAGTTGATGTCGTTGCATTATAATGCGTTTTGGTATTCCTTTTCTTTGTTATTCCTGAGTGTCGTGTGTGTGAACGCCTTCAGCGTTGACCAAGAACTGTCCCATGCTATGGCGAGAACATTCAAATTTATAGAAAAGCTCACATTTGTGGGCAAACAGTGGCACGATGACGCAGCAGCAGGGGCTGCACGAGGGCCTCCCTCCACTACACTCCACTCCCCTCACCAAACCACCGCTGCTGATTTCAGTTCAATAGATAGCGCCTCGATTAATTGATTACATTACGCGAACTGTTTACGTTCGTCGAGGGTGCAGGGTTCGATTCGGACACAGTGTACAGACAGCGCTCGATCCAGGGGAAGCACTCAGCCGCGCTTTAAGCCACATTAAGCCAACATTCGCCCACAGCAACAGCAACAGTTAGGGCAGCAACGGTAATGGCATTGGATAAAAAACTAGTTAGTCATAGACAACGATATGTCATTGTCACTAATTACATGGCGAATTTTATTCCCGATCTTTGTTTATAGGAGGTATTTTTTGCTGCTACTGCTTCTAGTTTGTTTTTTTGTCCACCTTTTCTTATCAGCTGATCGGCAGGCAGAGGTGTGTGTTCCATCGATTATCGATTGCTCCATTGGCAATCGAAATTTCAGCTGCCCAAGAGGCTTTGTTGCTTCTGTTTGATGCTCGCCTGGATGCTCAGCAGATACTTCATCTCCACGAGGGTGCCCTTGACGCCGACCAGATCCTTGGCCTCGAACTGGATGCCCAGCTTCTTGGTCATTGCCTGCAGTTCCCGCACAATCTGTGCATTGAGTTCCCCGAGTGCAGCGCTGTCCTCCGCCTCCTCCACCTCTTCGTTGCGCTCCATCATGGCCATTAAAAACTCCTTGTTAAGCGTACTGTTGTCCTGCGGCATCTGCTGGCCCTCCAGTTGCAGCAGGTACTGGCCGCGCTCCATCGGCATGGCGAGAGTCTTGTAGGCTTTGTTTATCAGGGAGCTCCAGTCCGCCGAATTCGTTTGCTCTCGAGAGGTTCTGGTGGCGTGGGAAGTCAATGTAAATGATTGCCAATTGGAAAGGGCTCCCGACTCACTTGTTACTGAACTTGTCCGGATGCACCAGGGTCTGCAGCTGTCGGAAACGCTGCGTCAGTTGCTGCCCCTCCAGGTTGAAGTTGGTGGGAAAACTCAGCAGATCAAAGTAGTTCTACAACGTTTGAAGCGGTTTATTGTCTGCCATCCATGGATAGCTATCTACTCACTATGTCCGCATCCACGTCCTGCAGGTGTCCGCAGTCCGAGCAGATCATGTGCTGCTTCAGCACCGAATTCTTTTCGCAATTCCAGCAAGCCGGCGTGGAGGCGGCAGCTCCGAATTGTCGCAGCTGCGGCGGACTAGCAAGCGCACCAACTCTGCCAATAGCAGCATAATTTGTGGCTCTCAATGCAATTTTACAAACACCAACCACAGAACGCATATTAAGCCATAAATTAAATGAGTTTTTGCACGCGAAGACTTCTTATCAATTACACAAGTTTTGTCGGAAAACAAAAAAACAATAATCAGCTGTTTTTGCCTCTTATTCCATTGGTTTGGCAACACTCAAAAGTGCGTGTAGTGTTGTAAAGCATTGATAGCTATTAAATAAATTGTATTTAATTTATTGTGCCATTTAAAATTAATAAAATAAAAAACTGTAAATGCAAAAGTGCTTAAAAAAGAAGAAAGCGAAAAGTAAAATAAGAAAAAAGAAATGCAAAAAGAGTGCCAACTCACGCGACACATACAACTTGCTCCAGGTGAGGCTCGAACTCACAACCCCGGCATTGCTCATAGACACTGAATACTGATTATAAGTACCGTGCGCTAACCAATTGCGCCACAGGAGCCTTCGGAAAATTTTTTGCCAAATGGTGTTCTTGAAATTCACCCCGACACCCGGAATCTCCTGTTACAACAAGGCGACCGTCGACGGACGGCACGGCCCGAAGAGAGGCTTAAAGAACAACCCATGGAAATGGAGAATATTTGTGTGATGCATTTACATAAACATATAAAATTTATTTGAAAAACGATGGGCTTACAACACTACATGGGCTTAGGGGGTAGTGTGGAGTCACATGGAGTCCTTTCTGTAGGCACGATAGCTGTTCATTTCGTTGGGAAACGTCTTGTACAGCTCGAGCAGCAGATTCGATTTGAACTTCTTGAGGCTCTCGATCTTGCCCTTGACCTCCTCGTTCTTGGCCAGTGCTTTCTCCACGCAGTCCTTGGTGTACAGCTGTGGATTCTTGTCCTGGTCGATGTAGTCGAAGAACACCTCGAAGGGCACATAAACATCCTGCACCTGGTTGCGAAGCTTGTCGATCTCCTGCAGGCCGGTGACCAGGCTGTTGCTATAGATACATATAACCGAAAATGTTTGGTTTATTGTTTGTTTAGGTGCATTTCCATTGAAGTCTCTTACATTTTCTGGTTGAGTACGTTCTGGCCCTGCGGCTGGAAGTCGCTGACAATTATGCGAATCTGTCGCACATTCTCGATGAACATCTCCAGCTGCGTCTCCAGGTTCTCCAGCGGTGCAGACATAATTATTGGCATAGAGTTTCCTGTATTATTATTTCTATGCTTTTATTTTGTATTTTCTTCCTCTGTTATTCTTCTTCTTTCTGCTCTCCACAGTGGAGCGCAATTACGAGTCGATGATTGATCTATCGACTATGCACTGATATCGATATTGCCCGTTGTCACACTTTTGCGTGCTTTATGTTTTTAATACCGACCAAATTGTTCGATTTTCTAACAAAAATTAATATTTAAAAATATACAACGATGTCAGATGGCGACTTAGATGCCCTACGCGCCCAGCGCATGTCCCAGATGCAGTCGCAATTCGTAAGTGCAGCCCCTGCCGACGCCCAAAGCATGCCCGGCAACGAATTATTGAACAAATAATTCCATAAATAGACAAGAAGAGCCGAAAAAATTATTAAACAATCCAAAAGGAAAAGTGCCCGTCAGTGGGCGAGGGTGCAACTGTTGGAAATGTATCTTCTCGGATGTGCACACCCGTCCCCCGTCATGAGTCATCATGGAGGAGAATGGATGCACACACACACCACCTGTTCCTTAAAGTGCTTGTCCTGCAATGACCCTTCACTTTCACTCCTTTCAGGGCGGCGGCGGTGGCAACGATGCCGAAAAACAGCAGGCCCAGCAGGAGCAGATGCGTGCCCAGGAGGAGATGAAGCACTCGATTCTCTCCCAAGTGCTCGACCAGCAGGCACGTGCCCGCCGTAAGTACAGAATATCAATAAGAGAAACCCACTAGAATCCAGCACCAATCTCCATTGCAGTCAACACACTGAAAGTGAGCAAGCCGGAGAAGGCCCAAATGTTCGAGAACATGGTCATCCGCATGGCTCAGATGGGGCAGGTGCGCGGCAAACTGGACGACGCTCAGTTCGTGAGCATCCTGGAGAGCGTCAACGCGCAGATGCCGCAGAGCAAGTCGACGGTGAAGTACGACCGCCGTCGGGCGGCCATAGACAGCGACGATGATGAGGATTATGGCTGCTGATTGCAGATGCTCCGTCTCCTACTCAGGGGCAGCCCGTAGCCTCATAGGTCTAAGTTCTCTTTGCTAAATACTTTTATTTCTTAATAACTTAAAACGAAAACAAGATGCACACGGAACACGTTTCTATAACTGCAAATGCAAACACCTCTAAAGCGGATGGAAGATCCTCCTCCGCATCCTTCGAGATGGGATGAGATGAAAGAGTTCTCTAAACATAGGACTAGATTTGGCTTAAAACGAAAGCAGTAGAAAAATTGCTCTATGCTGGATGCTGATTGAGACTACTCCTTCTTCTCGTGATCCTCGTCTTGATCCTCATCGGTGACGAGGCAATCGCCGCAGAATATCGAGTACATGATGAGCAGCAGGAAGCCCAGTGGGAGGCCAAAGATGACGGTCGTCAGCACGGGATTCCCCTTCCACATGTCCTTGAGCGAACGCCTCAGCTCGAAGAGCGCCCGATTGCAGCGCACGAAGTAGGTGTCGCCGCCATAGGCGATGGCGCTCTCATTGCTAATCGACTCCAGGAAGAGATGCAGGGCCTGCGGCGTCATCTGCATGGGATCGTCGTCGGGTATGAAGTGGTGCTGGGTGCTCGAGTTAATGGCTATCAGATGCGGCGTAGGCAGCTGGTCCAGGATGATGGAATGTGCGATGGAGGGTTCCCCAATCTACAGAGAGAGGGAGCATCGATTGCTAGAGAGAATTTCCTTACAGTAGAAGAGTAGCGGGGGGGACTCACCCATCCAAACTGAAATTTGTTGTGATACCGCGGCCGATGCTTCCGGATGACACCCTCGACCATGTCGCGGAACTCCAGCTCGTGGGTGGCGATCTGGCTGAGTTTATCCTCCTGGACGACGGCCAGGACCAGGTATTTCTGGGTCTTTAGCAGCTGGTGGATGTTGAAGCGCGTCACCTTTGGGAAGAGGGTGAACCGCTCGACGTTCACCCACTGGAAGATGGTCTCGTTCACCTCGTTGGGGTCCATCTCGTGGGCCACGTGTCCGTGGGGATAGAAGTGGTGCTGCTCCTCCTTGTAGACGATCACCGCCGGCAACTTCTCGAAGTCAAAGTGCTGGGCGGCAATGTCCTCGCTGGTGGCATAGAAGAAACCGTGCTCCTGGTAGCCCTCCGCTGCCGCGTAGTACGTGTCCCAGACAACGCCCTCCTGCTGGCCCACGAACATGAAGAAGATCGTGTGCGATCCCTTGAGCATATCGACGCTCTCCGTGCGCGTCACCAGCTGCACCGGCGGACCGGACATGCGCAGGGCATAGTCCACCAGTTCGTCGCGACTCCGATCCCCGTTGTAGGTGAACTCCATGTTGCCCTTGATGAACATTATGGTGGGATAGCCGCGCACCTTGAACTCACGCGCCGATGCCGGATACTTGGTGCAGTCGAGTTTCCCCACTCGCACATTGGTGGCATGCAACGCCTGCGCCACCAGTCCGAAGATCGGCTCTGTCTTCTTGCAGTAGCCGCACCACGGCGCATAGAACATCACCAGCCACTGGCCCTCGTGGCGGACATCAATGAAGCGATCGGACAGCTCCAGGACCCGCGAGGACAGGCCATTGGCACTCCTCAGTCCGAATAGCAGCAGTAGGGCTGCACACACACAGAGAGAGTATCAATTAGGATGCTATTCGATGTGCATTATTTATTTACCACCGAGGAGGAGGCTCCACTTCCAGATTGCGTTGCGGAGCAGCTGCATATCCTTTTTGCTTTTGCTTCTTCCTGGCTTTGTGCTCACAATTGGGTGTCTGGGGTGTTTGTGGGGTTGTGTCCCTGGCTATTTCATGCTCCCAACACTTCACTCTTGCCACGGAAACAGTTTCGCGTGCATGGGTTTTAATTAAATTAGTTAATTTTCAGCCGGAATTTTATTTTGCGAGCAAAAAAAAAACAACCACCACAACTAAAGAGTGACCAGCGCCGGGGAACACCAAAAATATTCCCTTTGCGTGGGTGCGCTCATATTCTGGTATTTCTGGTATATTCAGCCTGTGTGGCAGCACTCGCGCGGTTTGTTTACCTCGCACATCTGGCGATCTGGCAAACCCAATGCACACACGTGCGATTCTCTTTAGGAAATTTAAAAATTACATTTTTTTTAGTTAATTTTTGTAATTATTGAATCGGTAATTGTGTGTGGAAAACAATGACGGCGATACTGAACGAACCACCCCAGGGCGGTGGCAAGCAGCAGCTGCACAACGCCCGCTTCTACACGATAAAACCGCGTGCCATCGTGGGCCTCGCGTACAACAAGTTGGCCAAATGCCTCGCTTTGAGTCGGTAAAACGAATCCCACCCATCCCCATATGTAGAGAGATCTGAACGCTAATCCATGATTATCCCCCCCAGAGAGTCGGACTGCATTGAGCTGTGGAACATGGAATATGCCCCATATTTGGACAGGGTGATACACCTGCCGCCCGGCTCGCCCGTGGAGGCGTTGGCCTGGGCCGGCACCAAGCGCCTCTTCTCGGTGGATCTCTCGGGCAAACTGATCGAGTGGGATGTGCAGCGGCTGAGGCAGCGCTACGAGCAGTCCCCGACAGGCAATGCCCTCTGGTGCATGGACATTAATCCGGCGGGAACGGAGCTGGCGGTCGGCTCCGAGGAGGGGCACATCAACATCATGAGCATCGAGAACGACGAGATCACCTACAAGAGCCTCTTCAACAAGCAGAAGGGCCGCGTGCTCTGCTGCAAGTTCGACAAGTCCGGCAAGCACCTGGTCACCGGCTCCGAGGGCTGCGTTCGCATCTGGAGCGTCCTCAGGGGCCACACGCTGCACACGATGACGCTGTCCGCCAAGGACGTGATTGTGTGGTGCCTCCAGGTGCTGGCCGACAACACCATCGTGGCGGGCGACTCGTCGGGCTTTGTGACCGTGTGGAATGCCGAGAATGCGACGCAGATCGACAGGCGGCGCGTCCTCGACAAGAACGTCTTCGCCCTGGCCCTCAACGAGGAGGAGGACCGACTGGTGTGCACCGGCATGGAGCCGCCGCTTATTCGCGTCTTCAGCAAGACGAAGATCAGGCGCGAGGAGTCCGAGAGCGAGCGCTGGATCAGGTTCGTCCAGCGGGACGTGCACAGGCACTACGTCAAGTCCCTGGCGATGGTCGGTGTCCAAATTGTGTCCGGCGGTCTCGATGGCATTCTCACCATCACCTCCAGCGAACGCAGCTCGGCGCCACAGCTGTCGCAGCACGCCCCCTTCCTCCAGGGATCCGTCGCCTCGATGGCCATCGATGCGAAGCTCCTGCTGCTCCGCTATCCCCACAGCTTGGACCTGTGGCGCCTGGGCACCGTCGTGGCCCATCCGGAGGAGCAGGAGCAGGAGGAGCGCTGGGACCTGCCTGTGGGCCACACGGAGGATTTGGTGCTGGCGAAGCCGCCACAGAAGCTCCTGCAGCTGAATGTCCGCGAGAAGAGCTTCATTCAGGCGGCGGCCTTGTCCCCCGATGCCGCATGGATCTGCTACTCCACTTTGACGGAGCTGCGGCTAAGCCGCTTGACGCTGGAGCCCCCTCAGGTGGAGCGCCTGGCGGAGAATCTGCCCTCGGAGCTGACCCCCGCGAGCCACATCCTCTTCACGAAGCAGGCAAAACTGCTACTGCTACTCCTGCTCGATCCCAGTGCCAATCGCGTGAATTTCTTCGAGCTGAAGCAGGATCGCGTCCTGTTCCGCGCCAGCCTCGAGCTGAGTGCGCAATTGAAGGGGACTATCAGCCACCTGGTGGTGTCTCCGTGCGGAGAGTACCTGGCGGCGGCCTCCTCCGACCACCTGATCGGCGTCTGGCAGCTGCAGTCCGCCGGCAAACCGGCAAAGCATCTGCTGAACCTGCCCCGTCACCGGGCCGGCACCACCGCCCTGGCCATGCACGAGGGTCGCCCCCGCCTGGTGGCGGCCTACGCCGACGGGCGGCTGGTGGAGTACGATCTGGTGAAGCGCGCCTTCACCTGCGAGACGGAGGAGTACCTGATCCCAGCCACCAAGCACTTTTGCATCCACGGCATCACGCTGGACCCGAAGAACCCGAACATCTTTCTCGTTCACACGGAGCAGCATCTGTACGTGCTGGAGCGGAACAAGCGCATCGCCTCGGATGAGTATGTCGTCAACACAAAGTCCAAGAAGTACAGCCACGAGAGCCGCAGCCTCATGGCAGCCAATCCGAATGGATTGCGCCTCAAGACACAGCTCCCACGACAGGTAGGGATTCCGATTCCCCCCTATCCTTCCCACACATTATTCAATTGTTGTATTTCCTTTCTCCCTTCTTCTTCTTGCAGCACCTGGTGCATGTCTTCCGCCTGAGTCCTAACGAACTCGTCAACGTCAGCATTTCGACAGACAATCTGCTGGCACCGCTGCCACCGCCGTTCCAGCGAAAGAAGTTTGGAGCCTCGTAGACGTTGAAGAGAGGAGTGTAGGCGCCTCTAGGATTATCATGCCACCACTAGTTTCCACTTAGTTACCAAATAAAATCAAAAATGAACACAAAACAATGCTAGAGGAGCGAGCTCCTGCCATCTCTCCATCCCTGTTCCTGTTCTCCTTTGCTGCGAAATTTGTCAAAAGTATTGCCAAAAATTTGTCTCTGTCTTTGAGGTGTCGTCTCCTGCCTCTCCCTTTGGGGGGGGAGGGAGGCTTTGTTCTCACTACGTGGATTGTGCAACATTTCGTTTCGTTTTGTGTCGCCGGCATTTACTGTAATTGTTGCTGCCGCTGCTGCCACTGCCACTGCTCTTGTTGCTGTTATTTTTTGGTTGGTTTTACACTGTCTAGCCAGTGTCTAGACAAGTGCATACCACACAGACACACAGACAGTCGACAGTCGAAAAACACACGCACACGGCGGCACGGCACGGCAGAACAGAGCAGAGAGCGAGGCACAGAGCGGCAGCGGGGGGTATGTCGATGCACAATTCAACTTTTAGCTCAAAAACTCATTGCCCGGCCGAACGACCGACCGACGGGACCCACCGCCGTCTGCTGCTGCTGCTGTGTGGGTGGTTGACTGGGTGGCAGAAAAGTATCCTGCAGGCCATAGTCGAAAGGCTTTTAGGCCATGACAACTGCTATGCGATCGTAGCCAGTGAATGGCAGCCACAATACAATTTCCCAAGGGAAGAGCAGCGAGGGAACCCTCCCATCCATCAGCACTTTGGTATGAGCGAAGATCAAGATATATGCTGGACTACAGTATGATATAGTCCCAAGAATTTAACTCAAATATAGCTATAAATAATGCCTAAAATGTGTCTTGGATTGGCATCCTTGGATTATTACAGAAAGATCTCTAAAATCCACTTGGATATTCCACACAAAATGAGTAGAATATTTATACGAGGAGGGCGACTTTATTAAGTGATAATTTCAATAGATGCTTAAGTGAGGATATCCCTGGTCCAATCTGTGGCCTAGATGTGACCCAAACTTATCCCCCATGTTCAGCATTCCTGCATTCCGTAAGGGTATTCCCACAACGACTTCCTCCTTCGAGTTTTTCCCCATTTTCTTTCTTGTTTTATGCATTGCAATGTGCACTCTTCTTTGGTTTTTTTTTTTTTTTGTTTTTTCTCTATTTTGCATAATATTTTTGTTTTTTTTTGTGGCAGTTGAAGTGTCCGCCTACAGCCCATAACATCCCCCTATTAACCCACCTCAACCGTAACCGAGTGACGGTATGACTGTGGTTGCAGCAGCAGCAGCAACAACAGCGGCCAGGGGGGCTGTGGGGCGACACTATTCGCATTCGCATTTGCAAAGCAAGTGGCAAGTGGCAAGCGAATAGACATGAATAATGAGTGAGAATCGGTTTGAAACATTCATGGAATATAACGCATACGCAGTGTATGCCGATTTGCTCAAAGCCCAAGCCCCTCCAGCTGCTGAGGCGGGGGTTCCCTTGCTTTGGTTGGCATTAAAACTCACTTAGCCGTTGAAAGGCGTTCAAGAAAACACAGAGGGTGGCAGCATGGGCGAGGGGTTGGAAAAGTTATGCAAACTACGCAACGAAAACTACGGGAAAAGTCAGTCCAACGTTCCGCAGCTGCAGCTCCAGGCAGGAAGAAGTTGCAGTCCAGAGGCGGCGGCAACTCCGAAAGAAGTCTAGACAGGCGACAGGCAATGGGCGAAAACTTTGGTTTCGCTGAGGGGAAGACAGGGGGGCTGGTTTTGGTTTTGGTTTCCTGGGTGTAGTCCTCCTGGGTTAAAAGGAACAATGCCTCGAAATTGACATTTAATTGGTTTGCAAATTAGCCAAGAAAATGGCTGCAAGAGTGCGGGAGAATGCGCCTCCCTCGTGCACTGCACGGGAAACAGCTTCCACACCTTGCATCAGCAGCAAGGGAGGATGGATGCCCCACCAGTTGGCACTTCGTGTCGGAGGTGCTAATAAAGCGGCATCATCAACCCTCCCATCACCCGTCTCACGGGTGGCGAATTGCGGTCGCTAATGAATGGAAACTGAATGAAACGGGATAAAGCTTAATTTGCATTTAATAAAATTAACGCCACATCCTGCCATCCCCCAGCCCAAGCCCAATGAAGAAGCAGAGAGGCTGATGGGTTAGCATGGGGGCGGAGGCATCAGCATAAATCGCATGCGGTTGTCATGGCAGTGCATCGAGGGAGGGCATGGGGCATGAGAGTACAACCAACTCAACGTCTAGACGGATGCAACAGCAACAGTGGCAACAGCCACAGAGTCCAGAGGACAATGTAAGGACAAACGTGTGTCCTGACTGTCTGTCTGGGAGGGAGGCAAGCAGGCAGCCAGGCAGGCAGGCAACAGGGTGCCGTGCCCGCCCGCCCCCAACTTTTGGCTCAGCTCAAAACTTGATTGAATTTAATGCCCCCCAACAACAGCAGCAGCAACAACAGAGAGAACAACAAAAGGGAAAAGGGAGAATGGAATATAGATGGAAAATCCAGGCACTTAATTGGTCTAAAGGAGAACTCTTCGCTCTTCGAAAGAAAGAAAGAAAGAAAGAAGGGGAAAGGGCCAACAATATCAAATGAAAGTGCAGCTGTGCTGTGCAGGTAATGACTCCTTGCTGAAAGGTCAAAGGATAAGCGAGAGAGAGACACAGAGAGCCACCCAAGGGATAGCCCAAGGGATGGCCCAAGAGATGACCCAAGGGATGACCACTTGAAAGTGGCTTCAAGGCTTAAGGATTCATCTACTAAAATACAGTTTATGAGCAAACTTCAGCCCCACCTTACCCTTCGACACCCATGAAAACCAGAAGCGTTCGTTCGTTCGCTCGTTCATTCGAATCCTGTGTGTCCTTCGCGGAGGACAAATGCTCCATAAATAGGGATTCAGTGAGTGAACAGAATGGGTAGCAGAAAATGAGACAAGGGAGTAGGAGTAGGGGAAGTAGGGGAAGTAGGGGAAGTGGATGTGTCTCCAATTTGATATGCTTGACGCTCTTCCTGGCTCTCCTTCTCTTCGCTTGGAAACTTTTGCAGTTTCATTGCACTCCTTCACTGCTCGACTCCAGGACTCCAGCACATCCCCCACTCACTGCAGTTACCCCTCTCCCCCCCCACCCCCTGCTGCTGAAGGAGGAGTCAACTTGTCAGCCAACTACAGAATTTACGAGCATTTCACTTTATTTGCTCCACCTCTTCCTTCCCTCTGGCCGTTGCAGCAGCGATTCGTGTTGCATACTTTTTGGGGCGCCACAATGGAGAATAGAGAGAGAGAGCGATTCTCATAGCTCTCCGCGGAATATAGCAAAGGGGGATGCCTGGAGTTCTCAACGAAACACAAAGCATTTAAAGAGAGAAAAGTTCTCACAAATACAGGAGTTCCTTCGCAGAAGGAGAAATAGAGAGAGAGAGAGAGAGAGAGAGAGAGAGGGAGAGATAGTTCTCAGCTATGGTCAGTCGTAATTATGGATCATTTACTTCTCCGATTTGTGTATCCTTTCCCCCCTATAGCACCATCTGCCACTCTGCTCCGCCGTTAACTCGTGCAACATTTCTCTGTATTCTCTGCCCCCAAAAACTGCTCTGTGATGATTCCCCGTCGTTATATGTTAATTGGCTGTTGGTCTGCTGCCTGTCTTTTGTCTTTTGTTTTGCTCTCTCGCCCCTCTCTCCCTCCTGCTGCCATGATTTATGCATAATGCGACCATCATCATAAGACTCATGGCTGATGATGATGTTAGTCGAGTTTTTGCTGCTCTGGTTGCTGCTCTGGTTTGCAGAACTTAATGAGAGCTAAACGAGGCACAGAATGGCGCAGAGCGTCGACTAGAGAATGCTCTGTAAAAGGAGAGCAGAAGGGGAATACAGATTCCTTTTCTTAGAACGAAACGGAAGCCGATTACTTCTCAATCTGCATCTCAAAAACGGCATAAATAAATGAATCCTGAATATTTCTCGCAACTCAAGAGCCGATTCTTACTCTACAGGTAGGAGAGTATGCTAGAAGGAGGCCTGTACTAACTTTACAAGAAATAACAACAATAATAGTGCCACTGCCCCTGCCCCTAGCGCCCCTCTGTCTGTATGATTTTGTGTACGCGCTTCGCTTCGCAAGTTGCAACCACAATTTAATTAAGCCAACAGAAACCGTACCACAGGAAGAGGCACAACACACAGCAGACAGAGAGAGAGAGAGAGAGAGAGAGAGGGGGGCATGGCATGGACGACATTAGCATTGGCAACATTGTTGTTGATGTCATGTGGCAATGTGTTTACTCTCTCTCCCTCCCTCCCTCCCTCCATCCCTCTCTCTTTGTGTGTGTGTCCAGAAGTCCAGAAGTGTCTAGCTCTAGAGTTCTCAAGAGCTGGCCCCATCGCTTTAATAGACACGTTCTCATGTGGCTGCCACAATTTCCTGCCCATCGAAGAAGGAGGCGGCGCCTCCTCCTCCTCCTCCTCATCATCCTACTCGAGTGACCGCAAACAGAAAATGTGGAAAATGACTTGTGTTGTGTCTCTCTCTTCGTTGTTGTTGTTGTTGCTGTTGTTTTCCTTTGTGGCTCTGCTTGCCCACTTGTTGTGGGTTTTCCCCAGCCACATGCCAACACCCCCCGTCACCCCTCTCAGGCCGCACTCTGTGCTGCTGTTTTTGTAATAATTTGATTAAATTGAACGCTTTAAGTGATTTGCATTTTAAATTTCAATCAATATGACGTGACGGCTGCTGCTGCTGCAGAGGCTGCTGCATGCAACCAACCAACCAACCAGCCAGCCAAACAGCCAACCAACGGATGCAACTGCCACAGCAAGAGGCAGCAAGAGGGATGTAGTGGACGGGGAGGGGCCACAGAGGAAGTCTCTGTCTGGTCAACTGGCGCCAGGCATCGCTCTAATGATGTACAACCATCAACGGCTGCTCCTCCTGTGGCAGCAACAGCAACAGCAGTGGCAGTGTCAGTGGCAGTGGCACTCGCTCTGTGGTGGCATCTGTCGTCTGTGGCACTGTTTGATTTTGGCGGAAGAGCCATTTAGCAGAGATTGTGCGAAAAGGAAACGAAAGCTGCAGTTGCACAGCAGCTCCAGCAACTGGGAGCAAAGCCAAATTCAGGGTCAGATTTTGGGCATATATTGGGGCATGCAATGGACAACGGGAATTTGTGGAGTAGAACGAATAAATTCTCTTCATTGTTCGCTCTTTTGCATAGTAGTTTTCTTTTCTCCAGAGTCCTTGAAGGACTTTCATTTGCGTCAAATATGAAATGAATTCTTGCAGCTGTTTTCGCAGTCAATTGAAGCAGCAGCAGGCAAATCCAATTAACCAAAGAATAAAATTATCAGAGAATAATTGTAGCTCTCTCTCCCCTACCCTTATCCTCCCCATATTACGTATACGCACTGATAAACAGTAGGGGAAGAGAGAGAGAGAGAAAATCTTGATGAATTGGTTTGGAAAGTAGTTTTACTAGCAGGGAATTATAATTGCCAGAACTGCCATGCCCACATTCCCGCAACAATGGCAGCAGCAACAAATTACTGGCAATGTGCACTGATCCAGGGATCCTTTCTTCGCCGTTTCTGCTCCTTTAGTTTCTGTTGCGCTGATTGCATTTGGCAGGAGAGTGTTGCTGCCACTGCCGCTGTCGCTGTTGTTGCATAAAGTGCAGTTTTTTACTGTAATTATGTGTTATTGTAGTTAGAGGTTGAAGCCTGCAGATGGAGCTGCTGCTGCTCCCTTTCCTTCATCATCTCCATCAAGTTTTGCTTAGTTTTCTCCGCTGGTGTTTTCTTTTTTTGTGTCCCTTCATTGTTCTTAACCATCCAACGTCGTCGTCGTCGTCGTCTGCCTCGTTCCTGCCACTGCCTCTGGCTCTGGCTACGTCTTGCAGTGGCAACTTCCTGATTTTCCCACTGCCACATCTGCCACACTCCTTCCCCTGTCCACACGCCCTATGTGGCATTATATTTGCCGAAATGCAAAGTCTAAGGACTTTCGTCTGAGTGGATTTTTCTGCCTGCCTGGAAGCTTCAGCTCCAGCTCCGGCTCCGGCTCCTGCTGCTCCTCCATCATCAGCAACCGCTTCCTTTTTCCGCTTTCCCTGCTCTGCTATTTTTTTTTTGTTTTCTAATTCATGCAATTTTCACATTGCAAATTTTGTGTTTTACAGTTTTATTTTTGGTGTTTTTTTTTGTTGGGCAGGCTCATTGTTTTCTGAGATTCGTGGGGCAGAGGATCGGTTGAGGGTGAGACAGTCGCCCGTCGGGGACTCAAAATAGCCCCCAAGAATAGCCCCACACTCCCCTCCCCACCCGCCCAATGGCGACCCCAGACACAATCATAGAGCAAGATCTTTCTATTGCCTGCCTGTCGCCCGCTTCACCCACTCCTAGAGTGGTCCTCCGCCACTTTGTGCTCTGTCCCTACACTTACCTCCACTTGGGGATCTCTCTCTCTCTCTCCTTTTTGATTGTCTGTTCAGGCGGTTGACTCTGTTTGAGGATGCTTATGACTAACAAAATATTCCCTGAGCTAAAGATCTCTTTAATAATGTAATAATTACCTTACTTGTATTAAAGTAAGGTCCAAAATCATACAAAATTAATGGATACATACCCTTAGGTCCAGCTACGAGTTCTGGCAAGAGAATCTGAAATTTAGACAATAAATTAATAAATTTCCATAAAATGTTTGCTGATTTTATTAAAGAATTATTCAAATTAAATGAACAATAAAAAATCCAATGAACTCGTATCTGGAACACACAATTGTCCCCATCAATATAACTTTATTCTTAAACAGAGAAGAGCATTTCCCATTCGACTTTTGGCGCACCAAAAAATATTCATATTTTTTTGTTGGTGCCTCTTTCCTCTCTTTCTTTGCCTCTCCTGCATCTCCCCGCCTATTTTACCTTGTGTTCTTTCACTTGTTTCTGCAACATTCTTAGTCTCTATTTGAATACAAATTATGCTGCCTGCCACAGCCACTGCTGCCACTGCCACTTCTGCTGCTGTTTTTGTTCTTCCCTCTTTTGGGGATATTTTTGGACTACATTTTGTTGTTGTCCCTCTCTGTCTCCCGCTCTCTCTCTTCCACTCACTGATAGCAAAATAATGAGCGTAGACAGCGAGAAAAGCGGACGGACAGAGATGGCGAGACGGAGAGACAGAGAGACCTCGACGATCCTCTTGCTCCTCCATCTAATCTCCGCCACGGTGGCGGCTGGCCCTTTGACGTGTGGAGAGAATGGAGTGGAGACTTGGCTGTGGTTTGGCAAGAAGGAGTGTGTAGCGGATCCAACGGGGGATCCGAGGGAGAGCAGCACGCTTCACGCTTGATTTTCATGCGGCCGTTGTTGTTTTCGCTGGGCCACAACGTGGCTGCAACACACCTCCTGCTCCTGCCCTCGCTTCCACCACTGCAACTGCATGTAGCATTCCCGAAGTCCCGAAGCATTTGATACCCTTGCAGATAGGCCGATTCCTATCTGACAATATAATCTTCCCATTTGGCTCCACTTTGAATAAGTTCTTGCAGCAAAACGCAATAATCCGTCCCGTCCGTAACAAACCTCTCGTCATAATCACAATACCCTTCCCCCCAAAAGGGGCATCCAAAAACAGATGAAGAAAATGCTTTTCAATTTATTTTTAAGTACAAAAATAATTTTTGTTTGTTTTTTGTTTTGTTGCTTGCAAAAATCTTGAGAACAACAACAAAATGAGCGGTAAAAATAAAAGGCACGGCATGGCGCGGCGCTGCGCGGCGCTGCGCGGCACGACAACGCGACACACGCCTGTCGCCGCGTCGGAGTCCCCCCCTACAGCCCCATCCCATGCCATGCCATGCCATGCTATGCCTTGCCAGACTTTTCCTCTCTCTCCCATAGAATGGAGGGGTGGGCTAGAATAGGGATCTCTATATATCTGTCTATATAGTAGACGCCTGAGTCGTCTGAGTGTGTGCGGGAAAATGTGTGAAATATTGGAGACAAACGGGCATGGCATGGGATGGCATGGCAGTTTTTATGTTAGGCAGACGATGCGAAAAAAAACGCCATTTAGTTCAGTTCAGCGCAGGTTTGCGGCTAGATCGGAGAACGGTAACGGAACGGGCAACGGGTAACGGTAACGGGTAACGGTAACGGGAATATCTAGGAATACTCACTTCTCAGAGAGAGAAAGAGAGATAGATAACGGTACACAGCTGAAACCGCGTTAATATCGTGCGACCTGCTCTCTCTCGACAGTTGATACGTTTTTTTTCCAGTTCTCTTTTGACCCCAGCTCCGAGTGGAGTGTGTGGGAGTGGTGTGTAGTGCAGCCAAACAGACGCCAGAGGGCGCTACCCTGACCAGTAACGGTACTACTGTCAAGAAGCAACACAGAGAGAGGGAGAGAGAGAGAGAGAGAGAGCGCGAGAGAGAGAGTGAGAAAATACTTGCGTGTCATGTGTGAAATTCCGATTCCTGATTAGTGTATCGAGCGATAAGCAGCATATCAATCGATAGTCGTGCGTGAGTGAATAAGAATAAGAGTAAAAGAGAGAGAGAGAGAGAGATCTCAAGAGAGAGTGTGCGAGTGCAACGGAGTATTTAGCAGGAGGCTTCTCCGACGATCGAACGGACCGGAATTTCTACAATTTACGTTTTCTCAATGTCAAATCGAGCGTTCGAGCGTTTTCTGGTATGTATCGTCTCGCACAGACCACAGACCACAGGCAAGAGGCACGACTAACGACTACCGATCCGATATAGAGCGGATATATACTCCGATCCGATCGGTATGCTCTTATCTGCCAAATGCCAATGTTCGCTTTTTGCTCCCTTTTACTCGCTTTTATCGATAACAGCCGGTCCGATCGGAATTCCTGGGTTTACACCCCATCCCCAGCCCATCTCTAACCCCCCCTCTGTAACCCACTCTGCGGCGTAGATTTCTTTTTTATTTTTATTTTTTTTTTGGTCGAAACCAAAATAAATGTAGGAATTTAGCGTTTTGTTTAAAAATAAACTGGAATGTGTTTGAATTAGATGAGAAATTCGCATGTTCTTGGGGCCTCTCTTCTCTTGTTTGTTATTTAGCATTTTTTGTGTTCTTTTTTTTTTTGCGATCTTTTTGGGAAATTTTGTATGTTTTGGTTTGAAAATTTCATGGAATTTGCTGGCACTAATGGAACAGACAGAAAAAAAAAACATTTCAAAAGCTCTTAGACAGCGTGAAAAGTTATAAAATAAAAAAAAAATCATCTAACTTTTTGGGCGAAAGATTCGTGTGCCTTTAAAGGATATAAAATTGAAGAGGATTAAAAATTGAATGCAATTTCTTTTAATAAAAATGTATACGATGGGACTTGTTGGCTTCCCTGGCATGGTACTCCACTCCACTCCTCCAATCGTTTCATTGCCCACCATAAACTTTAGCCACAAAAAGAGGCATAAAAACATAAACAAACTCTGTCGTCTCAGAAAATGATCTTGACTCACGCGAGACGCGAGTCTCTACATTTAAGATCTCCTGCCCTGCTCTCTGGGGAACGGAGGAGCACTTGTCAGCACTTTATGGCCGCAATTCTGGGCCTCTTTTTTTTGTGTGCTTTAGTTTGCATTTTTCGTTGTATTTTTTTTTACTTTTATTAATTATAACTGGAAGAATCGGGGATTGTGTTTTTATGGCAAACATAAATTTCGACTTAAGGTCGCTCGGGGAGGGTCTTAAGGGAAGAGGGTAAAGGAGAGTTGAAATGAAGAGGCAATCAAATAAATTGCCAAAGAACAACAAAAGAAACAGAGAGAGAGAGGGAGCGAGAGAGGAAACAGTAGCCGCCGGAGTGGAGTGTTTTTGTCTCTCTCCCCACCAACTCCTGTGCATATATTCCATGGAAGGAAAGGCAAAGTCACTCTTCCTCTTTCACCGTCTTGCACTGCCTTACCTTCCATGTAATATACCCTGCTGTCTGTCTGTCTGCTGCTTCTGTCTGCCTCTGTCTGGAGGAAGAGACACACAAGCAAAGGCCGTTAATGATTATGATCGTGAGTTGGAGGGAGATCATCATGCAGAATGAGGTGGAGGTGGGGAAGGAGCAGCAGATGATCATCAGACACTTGAAAGGAATTTCAATAAACACAGAGAGAGAGGGGGAGGGAGATAAGTAGAAGAAGCAGCAAGCAAAACAACAACAGAATCATCAGACAACGATGATGAGGATGGGATTGAGGATGATGCATCCTACCCATCGCCCCATTCCCCCCCATCTCTTCGTCAGATGAATGCATTAACAGGGATCCATCTTGTTGTTGTCTGTGGCATCAATCTGTCTCTGACACATTGGGGTGCAACATTGTGTGGCAGTTTTATCAGAGGAAGAAGAACGCAAAACAGCAGACACCACAGCAGACTATGAAACGATCTCCACATCATCAGCAGAATGCCGCATATTAAATGAACCAGACAGAGGACACAGGGACAGAGGGACAGAGGGGTGGGTCCTGTCCTGAATTGCAGATAATGTCTCCATACCCCACACCCCACTCTCCACTCGACTGGAAATAGAGAGAATTAGTGAGCATAAAAGGTGGGAGCAGGGGGAGTGCTCTGCCACTCTTTTCCATATGCGATGCACAGATTACCTTTTACCCATCTTCCATTTCCATGTGCTTCTTCTTCTGGTAGGAGCGCATGGCATGGCTCCCAAGTACAGTGCACCCCCCCACCATTTTGTATTTGCTTTAAAATTAGATGCTGCCCCTGCCATGACCAGCCCTCACCCCTCATCCTCCCGCAGATGATAATAAAACTAAAGTCAAAAAAGAAGTGCAACATAAATTTGTGCAAAATATTACGCATACGCAATGTTCAACGTGCAGCATGCAACATGCAACACACACACACGCACACACACATACCCATTGTTGTGTCTGCTTCTCTTTGGGGTTATTTATGCCCCGCGAGGCGACACACCACTGTCTCTCCCTCTACCTCTCTCTCTCTTTCTATCGTTCATGACTCACTCACGCACTCACGAGGTATATTTTCGTCTAGAGTGGTGGGGTGTGGAGGGGGCGGGCTAAGGACGGAAGAATCTTTGTAACAAGGACAGACGACGAAAACAAAGAAAGAAACAGAAACAACAGCAGGAAAAGTGGGCGACCACACAGCATAAAAACACTCAGAGAAATGCCCGTGAAAATTTAATAAAAATTCAAAAATATTTCCAACAGCAGATGGAAAATGGGAATATAAATTCTTTTATAAATTTTAAATTTAATTTAGCGTTTTTAATTATTAGAAGACTTTCCCCATAAAATAAATTTATCTAGAATTTATTTATTTTATTATTTTATTTATTTTGTTTCCTTTTGCTTTCATTTTCCAGATATAAATCAGCCGCCGATTAATCGATTGGCAGCTCCTCTGTGTGTTATTGATGACAAAATGGTAATCGAAGTGAGGATTGCGGCAAAGGACACGGGAGCGTAAACAATCCGATCGCAACCGCCGGACGACGCTGTGGCCCCCACGCATGCAGCCAGTGGCGCCGCGGGGGCCCGCTGCACATTGTGGTGCACATCGGTGGTGCGGTGGTGCACTGTGGTTTGCCTGCTCTCCACATTAACGCTTCTCCAGCCAGCAGCAGCAACAGCAGCAGCAGCTTCAGCCCCAGCCCAAGCCCTCGCGGTGCCAATGCAGCAGAGGCGACACGGCCACGTGCAGCAGCAGCAGCAGCAGCCGAGTGTTGCATACTTGTGGGCGTCCAGAGTGCAACAACATCCTCCCCAACAGAGGAAGGAGCTGCAGCAGCAGCAGCAACAGCAGAAGGAAAGCGGCAACAAGTGTGTGACATGCTCCCATTCGATACGGCATTCGATATTGAATCCGTTTCCGTATCCATCAGAACCGAATGCTGGAAGAAGCGCCGCCGAAAGTTCACTGGTGCAGAGGAAGAAGAGTGTTGTAAATAGTAGTGTGGCTGAAGTTTTTTACAGTGTAAATAGTGCAAATAATAATACGCGTAAGTTAAATTTAATTCTGGGCAAACTCTTGCCCCAAAAGAAGAAGGAGCAGCAGCAGCAGCAGCAGCAGGAGGAGGCACATCTTGTTGTTGGCACAAATTTGCAAAATAAATTACCAGCATCGAGTGCGGATTGCCACTTAAGTCCCCATACGCGTACTCGTACTCGTAGTCGTTGTCGTTGTCTTGCCCCTTGTGCCCCTTGTGCCCCCAGTGCCCACTGTGCCACAGTCATAGTCCATTCTCCTCCCTTGGCCTGTTCCTGGCATCATCATCATCATCTGCAGCAGCAACAGCAGCAGCATCTGAATCTGCATCATCGTTGTCGTTGTTGTCTCTGTCGTTGTTGTCGTGGTCTTCGCGACGCGTCGCACTCGACTGGCGGTAGTGTCGCCTCCGCGTCTGTATCCCGCGTATCGCCCGCGTCGTCTATGCTCTTGCCATATCAAATTAATCAACGTGCTACATTGTTGCAGCAGCAGCAGCAGCAACAGCAACCGAAAGCAGCATCATCAACAACATTGCCATCACATGTGCCCGGGCCTGGGGCAGCAACAACTCCTCTGCTGCAGCATCGTATTTTTAAACGTGATACAATCCAAACAGCGACCACTGCATCACCTTTGACACCGCAGCAACAGCAACAGCAACAGCAACGGCAACGGCAAAAGCATCGCCAACATCTGCAACATCTACTTGCAACTGCAACCTCCACAACCACCGCTGCCACATCTCGGCTCGAATTCATACTTTACACAGAAGTTTATGAAGAGGATTCGATCGCCATTGCCCCCAGCAATTCCGATTCCGATTCTGATTTAAATTTTAATTCAAAGTCGAAAATACCCGCGCAGGAGGAGGAGGAGCAGCAGCAGCAGCAGGCGTTGGACAGCGAAACCTTTTGGCAGAAATACGGTGAGTAGGTAATCTAAATTACTATGTTCTTCATCCTTTGATTGATATAGCCTTGAAGCGGGAATTCTTCTAAGAGAATTCTTGTAAAATTCCCTACAAATTCGCATAGACTGGGCAGCAGCTCGATCCGTTAGGGGAACACATGCTGAGAACTTTATAAGTAAATATCAATGAATTCCACTGAAATTTATAGTTTAAATACCCACAAAACAGATTCCATTGAAAGCCAGTGGCTCCAATCCAGTCCCCAGGTGTTTTTACCTTATAATTATCACCCAAATTCCTCACTTGCCCGCTCTCATGCCATATCGTTCATATCGTTCGTATCGTTCCACCTGTCAGAGACACAAAACATTAAAAACATTAAACGGATTGAAAATCATCAGAAAAAGTAAAGGAAAACCTCTGCCAACATAACATTTTCCACTTTTTCATGCAACGATTGTAGTCACAAAATAGCAAAAGAGACAGAGACAGAGAGAGAGAGATATAGACAGAATAGAAAGAGAGAGCCAGATACAACAATTGTATTGCAATGTTCTGAATGTTCTGTTGAATGCCTTATGCGACGATATGGCAGTTGTCGTCAGGGTAGAGAAGGGAATGCGCAAAGGGGGACTAAGAATAGGGGTGGGGGGGCCAGTCAGGGAGGATATGATATGATGTGGGGATTTTTAACACAGCTGCTGGCTGGTTAACATAATTTTCGTGGGCATCTCTCTCTTTTTTGTTGTTGTTGATTTCTTTTCTTTTTCGTTGCTTTGCTTTTTGCAATTCAACGCAGAAATAAAAATAAAGCGAACAACGATGGTAAAAACAACAGACAGACGGAGACAAAAACAGAGAACGAGCGGCAGAAAGAGAGAGAGAGAAGAGATGACTGCAGCAGATGCTCAAACGAATAGAACAGGAAAATACCTTCGAAAATAGCTTAAAAGCGATTCCCGCAGAATGGTTCGATGGAGAAGTTAAAGATCTCTTTGCAGATCGGTAGAATCACAGCTGGAAGATTTACTTTGTCTCTCCTGCACCTTTGACTCGAAGAAAAGTGTTTGCCAGAATATCCACATTTTATTTAAGTGGATAAATAACAGATTTTACATGTGTGGAGCATACCCTTCTATTCTATTTGATACCCCTTGATAAAAATAAACAAAAAAAACAAAAGCACAAAAAAGAAAAACAACATAGAAATCAACTTTTTCCAACGAATAAATTTCGAGTTTTCGATAGTCTCGGTCTGCCACAGACAGTGGTCGTCGGTCGTCTGTCTGTCTGTCTGTCTGTCTGTCTGGCTGGCTGTCGTCTGTCGACGTTGTCGTTGTAGTCGTCCAGACAGCACCACAAGATCTGGCCACCAAGCCAACGGACAGAGTGCAGAGGGAAAGGGGAGCGTACTGGGGATGGGAACTGGGGCCCCATATTCGTGGGCTCCAACAGCGTCAGACTGTCTGGTATGCCAACAGGCAGCGAGGCAGCAGCAGCAGCAGTCAGCGCTGGCTCTCACTTTGCCACAGTGCAACGCTGCTTTTGCCTCTTGCGGTTGCCGTTGCCGTTGCTGCTGCCTTGCCACATGTGGCGCTGTACGTCCGTCCGCCCGCCGGTCTGTCCCTCCACTCGAATGATAGTTGTAGCTGTAGTTTCGGTGTCAGCTGTCTGCTGTTTCTACCTCAACCTCTGCCGTCTACTGCTGTGCCGAGACTCTTCGTTGTGTGTAGGCGTCATCATCATCATCGTCATCGTCATCATTGCATGGCATGGCGCTCGCATTGGCCAATGCATAAAATTATACAGAGACATGACATGGTTTTGAATAATTAAACACAACTGCGGGGCACAACAGACAACGAACGGTGCAAAGGGGCATCAAGTCGGACTAAATGGCTGCCAAAATCCAGTGGATATTCCGTACCACAAGCCACCAAAGGGAGCCACACAGCAGAGACCACGAAAGACAGACAGACAGGGAGACAGGGAGACAGAGGGACAGGCAGGCAGGATGCACAGTCCTGAAGATACTACCTATGATTTGATAGCACTCCTTCTGTTGCCTCTATCCACCTCGTTACGGCTTGAGTTTTAACTCATTTAGTAGCTTAATTTCTGTAAACGGATTACAATTGAGTCCTTGCGAGGGGGAACACTCTCCTTCCTTTACTCCTCTGCTCTTTGGAGTTGTGGTGAATACTTGAAGGTAGCAGATGGAGAGGATTTGTCTCATTTGTGGCACATTTAGAATAACAACAATGTTTCTGATTCATCAATTTCTGTTTTAGAGAATGGAAAAGTCATGAAAATTTGGATTTAAACCAAAATGGAAGGGTAGGATACGGATATTGGCTTTAGTTTGGTTGGAACTTTTTCCAAGAACTAATGAATGCCATTTGAATGTCTAGACTCTAGAGCTTTCACCTCTTTATTGTGAATCTTTCATAAGAGATATTTTCATTAAAAAAAATACTTGTAAGAGCAGAAGTAATTTGATTTTTGAATACCTCTGAATGAATACCTAATGGGTAGCCTTTGCTAGCTTCATTATTTTTGTATTCCTCCATTTCCTCAGACGATTTTCTCCTATGAATATTCCCCTACATTCTGAGAATCGTTCTATAGTTTATTGGGTAATATTCAATAATATTTGATAAGAAACAAAAGTTCAAAAGACTCTTTTAACACACAGTAGACCCTCGAATAAGACCCGCCCCACCGAAAGTAAAGGAAAGTAAAGGATTTCTTTTCGATAATCTCTCGCCGTCGCCTCAGACCTCAGACATATGACAAATAGAAATAAAATAATCAAAAGAAAAGGAAACAAAGGGCAGGGGCCCAAAAAAAGAAACAAACAAAAGGAAAAGGAGAAGCAGATGAGGAGAAGAGCAGAGCAGAGGGAGACGGAGACGGGGACAGAGACGACAGACAACCACTGACAGCAGAGCGCAGATATTATTGACAGCTGAGAATGAGAATTGTTGGCGCATTTGGGATATCGGACACTGGACATCGGACATCTTCCTCTCCTGCGCGATGTTTGCCCAATATCATTCCAGTCTTTCCTTCCCACCTTCTCCTTTCCGCCAGTCGATGGGTGCCCCATTGTTGCACTGCTGCTGCTGCTGCACTGTTGCTTTGCAATTGTTGCTGTTGTCGGCAGCGGCAGCTCGGCTGCTCGGCGGCGGCGGCTCGTTTCATTCAGTCGTTGTTTGAGCTGTCAAAGGGGTCTGGCCTGGCGTTTCCTGTTGTTTCCTTTTCTGTTTTTTTTTTCCTTCTTTCTTTTTTTTTGTTGCACAGTCTGCGATGTCTAGACACAAGTCAAAGTCGAAGTCGGAGACGCTTCGAACCCTAAAGCTCAGGTGCATTCTCTCTCTCGACACAACAAAAAGGAGGCAGGCAACCTGAAAATTCTCCATGGTTTCTCCCTCTGCCCCCCTCTCTCGCTCCTTCTCGCTCTCTGTCTCTATCTCTCTCTCTATCTGCGTGTGAGAAACATTTGCCAGAGACCCAGAACCAGAGACCCAGACCCAAAGACCAGACATATCCAAATCGACATCGACATTCGCATCAACGACAACCGACAACGAGCGACGATGTTTGTCTGTTTGTCGTCTGGAAAGTTATGGACAAAAGTTGTATCTGTCGCGGGCTATTATACCCTGTCCTCCTATGGGTGACTTTGATGTAACTGAACAGTTGAAGTCACCCATTCGAGATAGTTTTCACTCTATAAGGTATATTCGAGGCCTTGCAGCTGTTTTCCTGCTTACTCTTCTGCAAGTTTCGAAGCTTTTCACTGGAAATATAACGAACTTTCTATGGTAGTCGGCAAAAGCAACCGATGGGCGCTGCCGCATGACTAGCGAAACGAATGAAGCACGAATGTGACTTCAATTCTAGTTTTTTTAGAGTATTTAAGGCTGCAATATCCATTCTACCTCTGTGGTTGTTGCAACTTCCACACGCTGTCTGTCTGTCTGTCTGGAGGGGAACGACGAACTCTCGACTGACGACTGACAGACAGCCTTAGATCAGAGTGCAGTTGATTTATGGCGGCGTTGAGTGGCTTTACGCTCACCTCAAATATGACACAAGGCGGCGGGAACCCTGCAAACAAAAAACAAAAACTGCATACACTGGTATATATACATACATATGTACGTATGTATGTATGTCCAGCCAACGGAAGTTGTCCTTTTTTGCACCCTTTTTGGATTACAGGTCTCTCTGCTCTGCTCTGGTCTGCTCTGCCTTCCTTTCCATTCACGCAACAAGCAAATTGTGGCAATTATCGTCTCTGTCTCTGTCTCCGTGTGTCTCCCGTGTATGCCATTCCTTTGCTCCATATCCATGGAGGAGGAGGACACCCCGCTCTCTGGCAGTGTCCGCTGCCTGCATGCCTGCCCATCGATGCGTGACGACATGTCCGCCCCATTCCCTCTCTATCACTCATTCATGCACTCACCCTCTCTGTCGTCCCTGTCTGCTGTCCATCTGTCAATGCATGTTGCCACTGCCTCACTGCCCCTCCTCTTCTGCATTCGATTCTCTGGGAGACTGCGCTTTTGTATTGCAATAAATGTAATTATGGTCTAGAATTGTATTCAAAAAGACAGACGGCTATCCACCGTCTGGCACCATCCACAAATTGCCTCCAGGATAAGCGGAGAGGGGTGGCACTGGTGCAGCATGTGGCATGTGGGGTGTGAGGCGTGCATACCTGCAATTTGTGTGTTAGCTTTCGGGCATTGGTTTTGGTTTCGGTCTTTGCTTTTCGGGCAGTGGCAATCAGTGAAAATAAATTGCTTATCAAAGCGATAGAAACCCGCACTTAATGGATGATGGAATGGCTTAAGATTGGAAAGGATTTCCATGATATATGGATATATAGCATCGACGAAGGAAAGGTATAAGTATGGGCCGAAATATTCATAGGAATTAAATTAAACACAAGGGAAACATCAATCAGCTGGTACTGTGGGAGTTCTGTTGCCTTTCTTCGTGCTCTCTGCCCACG